CCGCCTGGCGGCCGTCGGCGGCGCCGGGACGCTGTCGCGGAGCTGCGGGTATGAGCTGTGCCTGACGGGGGGCTCGGGGGCCGGCGAGTTCCAGTTTCTGAAGCCCATTATTCCCAGTTTTCAAGTCCATGACACTGATAGGAATATGGGGGAAAATGAAAACTTTCGGAATAGCTTTGGATTCAATAGTCAATAAAACGTTTAAATTTTAAATTTTTAATTATTTTTGGCAAGCTGGAGGTGCTTTTGTCTAATCTGTTATGGATTCTGGGTTGTACTGTAGTTGCAAGCAAGATTATTGCTCCTGCTCTCTTCGGTTTCCTTGAAATCTCTAATAGTGGTCATAATGACATGGGAATATAATGTTTTCTCTGGTTTTCACTTACTTGGTCAAAAATGCTACATTAATGGAGTTATTGCTATTTTTGCTGTGATAATGGTAGTGTTAAGGCAGGAAAATATTCTTAATTATTTGTATATGCAAACTAAAGCATTAAAAGCAAATGCCACTATAAAAATAATTTATTTCTAGGCAGCCACCATCAGAACATAAGGTAAAAATGAAAGGGTTGTTGAATCTGGAGGGAGGGGGAAGTATATTGGATTTATTGAATTCTTTTCTCTGAAAAATATCATCATAAAAGGCAAAAAAAAAAAAAAGATGCTACTCTTCCATTTTCAGTCCTGGAAAAAAAAATTTTTTTCAAGGAATGTATTTATGGTAAAATTAAGGCAATGACAATAACAATTAATTTCTTAAGTAATTTTCTTCTAATTATTTTTGGTTTTGACAATGCTGTTGTGGAGGAGTCTTGTACTGTTCTGGGTCTTGATGTTGCTATTTCGTTTTCTTTAAATATCCCATCTTTACTAGCTTAAATTTTGTATAGTTCATTACTAAACAAAATAATTTTTAGTATTACTCTCAGGAAAATAACCTTCTATCGGAAGAGTCCAAGACAAGAACTCCTTTAAAAATTAAGATTCAAACTGTTAAGGGAAATTATTTAGATGCCTGCAAGGAATGAATGAGTCTGCATTTATGTTTTATAGATGCCTCATTGTGCTCCAAATTATAATATCTCAAATTATAGGTGGACAGTTCAATGGAAGATTATAGGTAGAGATTTTGAGAGGTAGACTGTAGAGTGAATAGAGCTAGTGTGCACATACAATTTTGTAATTGGTGTCATAATATTAATTGACATTATAGACTAGATAATGTAGTAAAATGGAATTTCTCTTGCTATTATGAAATAGGTGAAACAAATTTTAGTTTCCCTAAAAGTCTCTGCTTCAAGAAATTTTAACTGGTTTTATTTTTGCATTGTAGCAGATGTTTATTGCATGGGTTGCATTTGAATTGGCATTTAAACAATAAAACCCTGAAAACAAGTGTTGGATCCTCTTTATCCCTCAAAGTCATTAGAAGCAAACTATGCCCATGAGAGTCACTTGTAGGTCCAATGAGTAAAAACTGAAGAAAGAGAGAATAAGAAGGTAGAAGAAAAGTGAAATGGAGAGAGGAATAAGAGTAGTGTATATTTATCCCCACAATTATCCAACTGTAAATAAAATTCTATAATGGTCACAAAACCATAATATTTCTAGGAATAGTTTAGCCTACAAAGAAGTCAAAAAACCTTTATGAAAAAAATTTTAAATTTCAATAAAACAATAAATGAAATAATTAAATGTCTGGATAAAGAAAGATATTAGTTCCTTGATAGAACAACTTAAACAATATAGATCTATTCATCCCAGGTAATTTACTTATTTATTTAATTTTAAAGATGTGGAGTACAAATCAGGATTGTGTGTACAAATGGACACCATGAAGGTAAAGTCTGGGCCTCCCTTGGCCTCCACTTTGCCTGGTTTGAGATCAGGTAAGCTTATTCATGTTGTGTCCCTCCCCCACCCCCGCAGTATCCTGCCACTGCCAATTTCTTTCTTATAGTATTATGGTAAATGTTCAGGGTCTGCTTATGAGTGAGAACATGTGGTAATCTGTTCTTTGTTTCTGTGATAGATCACTGAGTATTATGGAAGTCCGTACGTTTGTCCTCCAAGTATTTTATAAATTGAATGCAATGCCAGCAAAACCCATGATAAGTGATTGAGGATCAAAAGTGATTTCTTATATTAACATGGAAGATAAAGTTGCATGAAAAGCTAAGATAATTTTTAAAATAAATATGAAGAATGCATAACATAATGGATACTACAAATCTGAAGTAAATACATATATTTTAAAAATTTAAGAACAGACTCATGACTACCAGATAGAATAGAATCTGGTGTTAGATCATTTTATATAAGAGAACTTGGTCATGACAGAGGAGGTGTCATAATAGCTGGAGTAGTGAAAGAAAAAAAATTGATTACTTAGATAATGTTATTGGAGAAATTGGCTCACTATATGAAGAAACAAAACCCATCACTCATGTGATATAAAAATGGATTTCATATGTATCTAAGATGTGAATGTGAAATATTTGAATTGGAAAAGATGAAATAAGCCTGGAAAAAAATGTCTTTATCTTCCTAGTTTTATCCTGGTTTGCCTTTATCCTGGTTTGGCTTTCTTAACAAGGCTTTAAAATACAAACAATAAAAACACAAACGGATGCATATTACTACCTCAAAACTAAAGGATAGCACAACCAAGCATGGCTATAGGTCCATGCCTATATATAATCTCAGCACTTCTGGAGACTGAAGTGGAAGGATTGCTTGAGCCCAGGAATTCAAGACCAGCCTGGGCAACATAATGAGGTCTCTGTATGCCAAAAAATAAAAACAAAAATAAAAAAAAGAAACTAGCCATGCATGGGGGTGCCTGTAATCCCAGCTACTCAGGAGGCTGAGGCCAGAGGATCACTTGAGCCCAGAAGGTTGAGGCTTCAGTGATCTGTGATTGTGCCACTGCACTATAGGCTGGGAGACAGAATAAGACACCAACTCTCAGTCAATCAATAAAAATAAAGGATAGCACAAACTACCAGATGACAGAAAAAAGCCAGTATTTTAACTGAAAAGGATTAATATTTAGATTATTCAAATAGCACTTGCAAATCAACAAAATACCAAAAAGTCAGGAAAGGCAACAGAATTTTTTGAAAGAAAAAAAGAAGAAATTCAAAAAAAGGGAAAACAAAGTCTAAAAAGAATGTGAATTGATGTTACTTAGTGAAACACACACTCAAATTAGCCAAGCTGAAATATTTGGATACTATCAAATGGAATGATAGAAAAGCATGTGTACAATCTAGAAAGCCTTCTGATAGCATTTGGTGAAATTTAATATGTGCATACCCTATGATTCAGTGATTCTACTTTGGGGCATATAAGCCAGAAAACTCTTATACAGCTTTACACAATGATGAATATTAGAACATTCATGGAAGGATCGCCGGAGCCCAGCAGGTCGAGGCTGCGATGGCCAGGAGTGGCCACTGCACTCCAGTCTGGGCGACAGAGTGAGACTCCGACTCAAAAAAAAAAAGAACGTTCATCAACTGAAGTGGAAGGATCACCTGGGCCCAGCAGGTCGAGGCTGTGGTGGACATGAGTGTGTCACTGCACTCCAGCCTGGGCAATAGAGTGAGACTTTGACTAAAAAATAAATAAATAAATAAAAATAAGAATGTTCATCTTAGGAAAGCAAAGACTAAGACTCCACACACATATCCATCAATAAAGCAATTGATAAATAAAATGTGTAACATGCTGGTAAAGGATGCATTGATCAAAAGGAGTGAACTAAGTACATAACCACATGGACAAATCTTAAGTGTTTTAAAAGAAAAAAAGTCAGGCAAGGTGACTCAAGCCTGTAATCCTAGCACTTTGGGAGGCTGAGGCGAGAGGATTGCCTGAGCCCAGGGATTCTAGACCAGCCTGGGTAACTTGGCAAGACCTTGTCTCTATAATAAATCAAAAAATTAGTTGGGTGTGGTAGTGCATGCCTATAGTTCCAGCTACTTGGAAGGCTGAGGCAGAAGGATTGCCTGAGTCCAGTAGGTTGGGACTGCAGTGGCTGTGAGCTTACCACTACACTGCAGCCTGGGTGACAGAGGGCAACTCCAACTCAAAAAAAAAAAAAAAGAGAGAGAGAGACTGACACTTATAGTACAGTGATATATATATGCAGACACATATCTTATATTTTTAGAAGTATACAAATATATACATATAAATTATGGAGGGAGAGAAGAGAGAACATATATAGAAAGGAAGATGGTTGTATATATACAGGGGAATAAGGAATACAGAAATAAATGGGAACTAATACCAATATTAATAACAGAAGTTGTCTCTTCCAAGAAATTGTTTAAATTGATTGATTATAGAGTTGATTTAGTATTGATCAAAGTTGGTTAAAAACACATATTATTTATCTATCCTATCAAAAAGATCAATTGTCCATATCCTATGAAAGCTAACAATTTACTTGTGATTTTGAATGATAACAATATCCCTAAGACTTTACATTTTTAATAAGGATAATATAAAGTATGTAGACCAATGATTTCATTAAAAGCAATTAGCTATTAAGACACTAATATTTTGTCAAGTCAAAGTTAATGTTAAAAGGAAATCTAGAGAGATAAACAAGCACAAAAATCTACTTTTTCCCTGTGAACATTAGGAATCCTGAAAAACTTGGACCTCAGTTTTGATGACTTATATAATGAGGGGAGAAATCAAACCTAACAAAGTGAGAAGCTTATAGAATTTCCTCCCAGAAACGAGCATAGCTTCCCTAAGAGTTACACTCTCAAAGTAAGAGTAAACATAAAATGGAGCCCGCCTGTGGAATTTTAGCTTGAACTTAATTTCTTGGACTTAAATTTAATTTAAGATGATCCTTGACAGGTAGTGCCCTAAAGTTCTGATATAATCAAATGCAGATCTCTTATGAGAGAATGTTTATTCACTCTAGGCCTCAGATAATTCATATGACTAATTTTTCACGTTCCTAACACAAACATAGTAAAAAAAAATAACTACATACACCAGAAAACATGACACCATGAGTGATAGCCAGTGGGAAAAAATGGAACACAGAAATAAACATGCAAGCACTTCAAGTATTGTAATTATCAGACATGATGTGCTAACCACTTTAATGGAAATAAAAGTTAAACTTGAAGAATACAGGGAATAAGAAACTATAAAATTTGACAGAGTAGAAAAGAAGAAAATAGAACTCCTAGAAATGAAAAATATAAAAATCAAAATTTTAAACTGAATAGATTTAATAGACAATTAGATGCAACTAAACAAAGAATTAGTAAAGGGTAATTAGGTTAGGATATGATTTATCCAACATGCATGTCAGAAAATTAATAATATGAAATATACAGAAGATATTATTAGAAGCAGAATTAAAAGGTTTAACATATATTTAACCGGAACCCAGAGATGTGAAAGACTGAATCAGAAGAAATAATGGTTGGGAATTTTCCAGAATTGATGAAAACATCAATAAACAAATTCAAGAGAGCTAAATAAACCTAACAGGATACATTTAAAAGATACCCATGTCTAGAGACATTATAGTGAAATCTCAGAAAACCAAAGAGAAAATTTTTTTTAAAGCCATAGAAAAAAGACAATGAACCTTCAAAACACATGACTGTAGACTCAACAGTAGTGATGGAAAATTATAGGATGTTAAATCAGTTGAAAGGAATCAGCAAACCTTCCTACCTAAAGCCTTTGCATGTAAATTCAAGTAAAAATTTTCCAGAATTGATGAAAACATTCAAGAGACCTAAATAAACCTTGAATCAAATCCACTTGATAACGGTTTAATTTTAAATTAATCAAGATCACCAGAATGAAGTAGTGTAAAGACATTTTATCCCTCAACCATAGCTTTTTATAGTTTTTCTCTTTGTCTATATTTTGCTACAATTCTTAGACCAGGAGTTTGACCTATCCCTGTTTCTAACCTTCTTCCTCTCTAATGACATTCACTTCTACTCTAGCCTAGTAACTTATGACTATGACCACTCTATGGACATGGCAGTTTCTGAGTGCTTCATCACCTCTGAAACCACAAATGTAAACATACTCTCTTTAATCTATGACTTACTATCTTTCTTAAAGAGCTTCAGTCACCATTTATGCCAATAAATTCCAAATATATCTCTACAGTCCAAATGTCTTCTCAATTTCATTTATGTAATAGATGATAATTTATATAACTATCTATATAGTTGCTTGAATTCAACATGTTTTATTTTTTTAATTTTTAATTTCAAATATGTGGGGTACATTTCAGAATTAGGTATACAAATATTCATTATGAAGGTACCCTTGTTGATGAGATGCACCCCCCTCAACATGTTTTTAAAATTAAACATATCTTCAGTTCTAGTTCCATACCTGTTACTCTTTCTTCTCCTCTTCCTGTGTTTACTCTATCAATTAAAAGCACCAATATCTGCTTAGTTTCCTAAGTGGGAAAACAAAGTACGTTTACTTTCATTCCTTCCTATCCCACTTCCTCTATGTTTATTCTATCACCACACTGTATTATTTTATCATTCTATACTATCACATTACTGCATTTTTAGTTGAAGCTAATCTCATCTCATGCCTTATTGCTTGCAACAATTTGTAATCAGTCTCTGGTTTTTAACCTTAACTCCTCTAAATGTATTCTCAACTCTGAAACAGCATGATCTTTCAAAGAAAATAAAAATATGATTATGCCACTTTTCTGTTTTCATAATCTCTTTAATAAGCTTGTATTTCAACTGGTTTAAATCCAAACATATCTTACAAAATATTTGCATATCTTTCCAATTGCAATTCTCATCATTTCTCTCTTCTTGTTCTATGTCTTAGACATAGTAGATCTTATTTTAATGCCTCCAAAACACTTCTCTCATTTTGGATGTGCACACACATGTTTTTAGCTTACACAAAAAATTTTACTCCATGCCTAATTTTTGTTTGAATTACTCCTACTCATCTTTCAACGTGGAATATACTTACTCCAGAAAAGTCTGTCCTGTCCTTCTAATTCTGGTTGAATAACCTTCATCTCTACTCTTTTAATAGTATGAACTTTCCTATTGTTGCATTAATTATGCTCCATTTTGAATGTGATTCTCTCTCTCTCTTGCATGGCAGGAACTATGCCTATTTGCTTACCATTCTATCCCTAACACATCATAATTCCTTGTATAAAGTATATTTTCAACAAATATTTGCTAAACTAATGAGTAAATAGGTAAATAAAATATTTAGAATTGTGCTTCTGAAAAGCCTGGGTCTGTAAAATGAACTTCAGTTTCCAAACTAAACTGGGGTTTAGTTTGTTCAGGTTTTTTTATGTTGTCAGAGTTGGACATATTTTACTTTATTCACTACTATTGAGCATTTATTTTCTACTCCTGCCAGATTAGTCTCCTATTGAGTATCCCTAAATAAATGATAGCATTCACACAGCCTGAAAAGTCCAACCTCCCCAATGCAGTTATTTGCATATGCAGGTCCAGTTTCAAGTGCCTGATCTCATTTTTATCTTTTCAAAGAGTATTTGCTGATAGTTAGAACTAAGAACTCTAGTTCCCATTTCCAATTTTCCTAAAAACTTCTAGCTTACTAAGTCAATTACATGCAAGAGTATCCTTAACTATCTTTAGTTGTTTTATATGTTGTCTCCACAGGCAGATAATTTATTTGAGGCAGGAACTATGTCTCAAATACGTTTTTTATATTCACCACAGCTCTAGCAGATTGTGGTGATTGCTAATGACGGAAAAGTAGTAAATAGCATCACATATCATCAAAAAAGCAACTCAGAAAATAGGCACAGAGAAGAACATACACTTATAAGCAAACACACAAGATAAATTAATATTCTGTCTCAAACTTGACTTTGTCTAAATCCTGAAAATCCACAGAGGCGCATGGTGGTGCTGCAGGATAAGATGGGGACACTTTTATAATAGCACATGCTCTGGTTTCCTTTAATCAGCGGAACTGAGAGTGCTGGGGGAAAACAAACAGGAGAAAAGAGACTTCCAAGAGAAAGGTAGGGTGCACCAACCACACCCTCGCGACAGGATTACAACCTTATAGATTCCCAAAAGTCCAGGCTGATCAGTGAGAGGAGCAACTCCCAGAGCTGCTAGAGATTGTCCTGCCAGGGAAAGACATTGGGGAAGGAGCCATGGAGCCGGGAAAGGGACGATCTCGGCAGCTAAGGCAAGTGCTGCTTTTCTTTGTTTTCTTGGGAGGGTCTTCCGTGTGTTCTGAGATCTGGAGTTATTCTGTGGCAGAGGAAACGGAGATTGGCACCTTCATAGCCAACGTGGTGAAAGACATGGGTTCAGCTGTGGAGGACCTGGCCGCGCGAGGGGCCAGAGTCATCTTTGACGACTATAAACCGTATTTGCGGTTGGATCCGCAGACCGGCAACTTGCTCTTAAATGAGCTACTCGACCGGGAGGTGCTTTGTGGTCTCACCGAACCATGTATACTGCATTTTCAGGTGTTGTTTGAAAATCCTTTGCAGTTTTTTCGGGCTGAGCTTTTGGTAAAAGATATAAATGATCACACTCCCACGTTCCTAGATAAATACATACTTCTAAAAATCTCAGAAGCTACTGCTCCAGGAACCTCATTCCAAATCGATAGCGCTCAGGATTTGGATGTAGGAAAGAATGGTGTCCAGAATTATACAATAAACCCCAACCCCCATTTCCACCTTAAGTTACAAGACAGTGATGAGGGCAGAAAATATCCAGAGCTGGTACTGGGCCAATCTCTAGATCGAGAAAAGGAGTCCGAGTTTAGTTTAACGCTAACAGCTATGGATGGCGGGTCTCCGCCCAAGTCCAGTACTACTCTGATTCGCCTTGTGGTCGTGGATATCAACGACAACGCTCCTGAATTTGAGAAGCCAGTCTACAAGGTTGACGTTCCAGAGAACAGCCCTGTGGACTCCTTGGTCATCAAGGTGTCCGCTACAGATTTAGATGCAGGAATAAATGGAGAAATATCTTATTCATTTTCCCACGTCTCCAGAGATGTACGGAAAACATTTGAAATCCATCCAAATTCTGGTGAAGTCCATTTGAAAGCACGTCTAGATTTTGAGACTACTCAGTCTTATGCCATAAATATTCAGGCCATTGATGGTGGGGGCCTTTCTGGAAAATCAGCCATTTTAGTTCGGGTTGTAGATGTGAATGACAACCCACCAGAAATAGCTATGACATCCCTAACCAGCCCCATTCCGGAAAACTCTTTCCCTGAGATGGTGGTGGCTGTTTACAGCTTACGAGATCCAGACGCGGGAGACAACGGGAGAATGGTTTGCTCCATTCAGGACAACCTCCCCTTTCTCTTGAAGCCGACATTCAAGAATTTCTACACCCTGGTAACAGAGAGACCGCTGGACAGAGAGAGCAGAGCCGAGTACAACGTCACCATCACGGTCACCGACCTGGGGACTCCCCCGCTGAAGACCCAGCACCACGTCACCGTGCGGGTCTCCGACGTCAACGACAACGCCCCCGCCTTCACCCGGGCCGTCTACACCCTGCTGGTCCGCGAGAACAACCGCCCCGCCCTGCACATCGGCAGCGTCAGCGCCACCGACG